TCGATTTGAATGCCTAGGGTTATGTATATGCATGTCCAGCCTTTAGGCAAAGGTGCTTGAAGCGTTTCAAAATTGGACCGCACAGCAGCTTCAAAAATCTAGCTTGTAGCTCACCGAACTCGATGATAGAAGGATCGTTTGGGAAATCGCGGACCGCTAGTCTGTAGTGTATCGAAAGGGCTACAATCTCAGCTGCTAACAATGTCCACAAGCGACCGCTGCGGACGGTTAATTTACGATGGTAGTTTTGTACTGCAGTTAGACTTTGGAAAACCGAGATATGCAGGCGTTTCCTGGATTTTTCAGAGGAGGTACTGCGATCCCCCCCGCGCCCTTAATGTGTAAAGTGTGGGCGTTAAATGACTGTACTGCTGTGTTGCGGGGGGTCGTGGGGTCCTACAACAAGCGGTATGCATCTGTGTGGTGTACTAACTTTGTAACACCTATACGGTAAATTGGCGAGGGACAGATAGATACAGAGACAGATACAGAGAGGGGCAGGGAGAAAAAAGCTGCGGGAAAGCACGCCTTTTGAAAACGACGATGTACAGGCAGCACTCGTCGAAACGGCAGCTCAACTACACAGCAGCAGTACTGCTGTAGCCCCCTCCTTGACAACCGCCTGAGCGGCACGCGGTGAAAAGTTGAACATGCGACGATTTTTCGGGGTATCGATTATGATCTTGCCGTTCAGACATGTTTCCAGAGAAGACAAGGATGCTAGCCAAGCAGCGATGGAGGAGACTCTTGGGGGAAACCCCAATACTGAGCACTTGGAGCCACAACGAGCAAAGTCTATTCTCCCTTTCGAACGCCTGCCGCCTTACCCGAGACGTCCAAGCGCCGCTAGACGAACCCAAGCTGCTGCCAACCGTCCGAATCGAAGAAGAAGCTCCAAAAGAGTTCGCAGGCGTCGAAAGTATCCACCCACAGGCCGTGTTCGAGCCCAAGACGACCGCTGCCACGGCAGTCGCTCTCCATGGTGCCGTCCGCTTCATGATCCCTGGTGCTGCGTGCGGACTGCGGAGCAACAACGCAACGTACCCACATGCGGTGGGGGGTCACGGGGCTGAATATGCTAGGGGGGGCGCGTACCAACTCGCGTCCCCCCTTCAACGATCTTGGATCTTCGTAGATTCCCCCATCGTGTATCCGTGAGGACGAATTCCCGCACAAACCCAGACGCAGCAGCAAAGCCCACGCACGCGCACCACATTCATGGGGAAGAGGCGTTGTCCTTCACTTGTCTGGCAGAGATAGTGGCTACGTGATATCAAAAAAGGGATCCTACGAACCGTATGTACGCGTTTGATTACGTGAGATACATCCCGTTGACTCGGGTCGTTGCTGAAATCTTCAACGTGGCTACCAGAGAAATGATGGTAGCGCGCAGAGGACGGCAACGGGAAGAAAGCACATCATCGGGGGCTTCAATCGTTGCCGGCCGCAGCCGTAGAACTTGTGTCTTCGTCGACCACCCGGAAAAGAACCGCCGAAAGCGACCGTCGAGAGAATGCGACACCACCACTGATCGGAGACGACGACGGCGGCCGTTGCCGCTCGTAACTATCGAGGCCCTTGCTTCAGCTGCCGTGGTGTTGCTGTTGTCAAGGACAGTTGTCGAGGGCCAGCACACCGCTGACACCCTGCTGTTTGAAGAGAACATGGAGAAAGCCGAGGCAGACCTGACCGCGTCTCTGAAGGGGGGAGAGTACGTCGAGGATGTGTTCTTTCCAGAGCGACAGGTGAAGGTGTTATTATAGGACGACTTATGATCTAAGTACCTCAATACTCCATACATCACCGCCTCTTAGTCAAGCCCGGATTTGAGCCCGGTGACCACCGACTGCCATACACCCGACGGCAGTCGAATTTATCTGGGTTGCTGAATGTGTAGTAGGACTGGCCGCGAGCGTATTGAAAACAAAGGAGTTGCTGTTCCGTTCTTCAGTAAACTCGTAGATTTAACAATTCTGCTCATCTCGCCTTCGCCGTCAAACTTGATCTTGGACCGAACCGACCACCCATGTCCACTGAAACAACGACGCCAGTATGCAGACACAGACATATTCGTCTACGAGTACCCAGACTCTTCCGACTACACCATTGGCATCATCGTCGACCCGTGCAAGGTGAGCAGCTGTGTTTACCATTTGCTCGTTCCCAACGCGTTTAGCGTCTGGTTCGTATTCAACGGCGACACTTAGAAAGCTACACTTATGACCACGGATTCGATGAATAGGTCAAAACGTGCAATACCAACGACTACGGTACTCATGGTAGTCTAGATCGGACACCTGATTTTTCAGCGATTGGGCGCTTTTTCCAGAGCGGTACGGACTTCGCCGCACGTCGCATCACTACTTGAGTATATGCAGGCGAGCATGATTTTTGGCTTCCGCTAACGGTCATAACAGTCCTCCTGCGTGAATGAGAATCAATTGGAAACCCTTGGCCATAATGACATTCACGCTGGACCACAAACCACGTGCGTGTACTCCTAACGCAGGGAAACTCGTACGACTGCTGCGACCGCTTCTACGGCGCACCTGAGTATCCTATGCTCATCGACCTCGACCAGTCGTCCTACCGTGTCGTGGACAAGTATCTCTTCGCCGACACTACGGAGATCCTAGCCAACACCGTCATCGTCGACAAGGAGGTGAACTCCTGTAGGTCGTGTAGTATGGGGCTAATCTCAACACGCTCTATTGTTAGCCCATTGCATTATTCCGGAGGAGCGAGGAGGAGGGCATGAGAGAGAGGCGAATACAGATACAGACATAGCCAGAGGAAGGAAGATACGAGAGAGAGATAGAGAGAGAGAGAGAGAGAGAGAGAGAGAGAGAAGGAAAGCAAATCAGAAAGAGAGAGAGCACGAACAGACAGCAGTCCAGAAGGCTGGTGGGATAACGGTCGACAAACCCAAACACAACCTTTTCGTCGGGGACTGTGTAGCAGATTGGGCGTTGTCGCCCTCCTGCTGGAACCCACCACATCTCAAAGGTCTTATGCCGAGAATGATCTTAACTAGCGTTCACCGTTCTCCACTTCCCCTTATTCCCCGGCTTGCGCCGTGCTTCTGTTCAGTATTGGGGGAAGGGTGCGTTTCACCACTACTAGTCTTCGGGTGGGCCCGTATGGGGAGTCCTCAAGCCGCAAAGTTGAGTTGAGTCTACATGTGGAGACCACCTTCATAAAGGTAGAAACTCCCCAACGTCTGTCGAGGACGATTCCCTCTTTTCACAATGGCGTCGACGAAGAGATGTCAGGGTGTCTGCTTTTGGTTGCAAAAGACACGGGTTCAAAACCCGCTTGTCACTAAATTTTCTTCCGGATAACGGAAAATATAAAAACGGTGGGTGGGCCAAGGGAGGACGCACTGGCTATCGAACTCGGAACTTCTGAAAACGTGGCGGACGTAGCGAACCCGTAAAACACGTACAGAGGATTGTGAGGAATGTGAATCGCCCCGCCGCCAGCCGGTCGGGTTCCGGTTACCCCAAGAAGACTTCTCTTGCCTGGGCAACAAGAAAAAGTCTCGAAAAAAGGGGGGGGTAATGTGGAGACCACCTTCATAAAGGTAGAAACTCCCCAACGTCTGTCGAGGACGATTCCCTCTTTTCACATACATTGGCGATGATGCCGGACGACGGTATCAAGAGTCTCTGAATGTCTCGCCATCAACGTCACTCGCCCCCTGTGCCACCCTGACAAAACACAGGGAGTCACGGTGCCCACCGCCTACAGCCGCTTCGCTGACGACGAGATCGTAATCGAAGACAACTGCACGGCTGCCGGCGTGCCGGACGGGCTGTCGTGCGTGGGGTTCCGTCAGAAACAGCAGCGATCCACGAGCGTGGCTCGATGCACGGACAACAACCAGACGGTAAATCGAATGACCCCGACCCCGCGAGGTATGGCACGCGCGTGGTGTCAGCGTGTCTTGCGTGTGTTACAGACGCAGGAAGCACACCTCATGTCTTTCTAGGCATCCCCGGCGCCACCTGTTCGGCCCACAGCCGCTGCTGGGAAATGACCACGCCTGATGGTTGAACAAGAGGACGAAACGACCCACCTGCCCTGCCTTCTTTGTGAACGATCGTCGTGAGGTGGTCTGCATGCTGAGCGACATGCTAGTTCGCTTTGAATCGCCGTCCTGGCGAACGTACCACCACGGGGGGAACTGAAAGTGCATCGCAACGTATACTTCCCCCCCCCGCCCAGTCCTGAAATTCGCCGGCGCAACTTTGACGTCCAAAGCACACGTGCATGGCCCTATCTTCTCTACTCGTCCCAACGTAAAAGGTCGACGCCGGAAGCTCTTGCCAGAACCTGGCCGGGGAAGTCTCGGAGCACTGCCTGGCGGTGGGATACTCGCAGACGGCCATCAGCGTGATCTGCGGGGGCGATTTCGCCGAGGATGACCACTGCGGGACGTTCCTCGAGCTGCACGTGGGCTACGCCAACTACTACGCGGACCCGGAGGACGTTCTGTCGGAGGTTCGGCTTCTCACGGCGAACGTCACGGTAAGGCGTATGGCGGGGCGGTTGTTGGAAAAATATCGAGGTCTCTGTTCGTCGTTGCTATCCCTCCCCCTTCTCGTGCCTAATCTCCGTGTGGCAATAAAATATCCTGTGTGTACCCTCCATGTGATAAATAATTGTCCTTGTCCGTAAGAGGTTGGTCTTGAAACTCCACAAGAAGTATGCCAACACTTCCAGAATGACGAACGAATTCTGTTCGAGAAACCCCTAGAACGTAAGCCGAGCTAGCTCGATAGTCCCGGTCCCTGTCGAGTCACACCCACCTGTTTCCGAGATTGTGAGAACAACGTGGTGGACGCCCCTCAATTGGTGTACAGGGATACACGACAACCACGATACCTACTACTTGGATGAACGACACTTCTAAGATCCTCTGCGCGTTTGAGCACGTGAGCTTGCTAGAAGGCACCATGGTGCTAATCGCGGAGGAGGCGCCTGTGTGCTGTTGCCCCCGCGCCTTCTCTCAGAAGGATCAGCTTGGTGAGGGAAAAGTACATTATGTCGCTTGCTCGTGTTGTTGTTGTTGTTGTTGGCCCTTGTGTCCGTCGCGTTGGTATCATAGATTGATTCTTCGAACTGATTAGTAGCGTCGTTTCGATCGTTTCCTGAATGCAGCAGGACATGAACAGCTTTAAACGTTACGCATGGCCTTGCTATGCAGCCACTCACGATTCGTATCAAGGTTGATTACGGCTGAACGATGCCAATCGGTCCCCCCCTATCTTCGGAGAAGATCCGCGAAGGACGCTTGGCGCCATAATCTTTGCGGTTGATGCCCGCAGTTTCATCGAACCAATCCTCGCTCCGGACGCCATGTAGCGTTTCGGGAGAGGCCTTAGAAGGACGAGCTGAGAGTGCGTATCCGGCACATGCACTTCTTCCCTGCATGCCAGGCTCAAACTAGCATCTTGTTAGTTTCACCCCCTTCTTTCAACTCGTGTCTGGTGCAATGAACGCTCGACTGGTCTCTTGGTGATGGTGCAGGTTCGTTGTTTTGCCCCGTGCACAACTCCGTGGAGGGACCATTTGCCGCGACCCTGACCAGCGTTGCCGACCTCCTTACCTTCGAGGAAGAAAGCCAGACCTACCCCTTCTGTCCCTCGCTGGATGAGAATGAGGACCTCATGGTTGTGTCCGAGTACTCCACGTCGTGGGAAAGGTGAGCCTGCGTGTTTGCCTGTATTGCGGATGACCGCAGTACCGCGTTGTCCCGAAAGGAACTTTTATGTCCCGTAGGAAATCCGTTCGAAATACATATCGTCTTCACCGCCTTCAAAAAGGTTATTTTTCTTACTGAACAGAAAGAAGTGGTAGGTTGTCGTGTTGAAAACGCACACGCTTACTTATTTGTGAACAAACACGGCACAGAACAGCTGCCCGTCTATCGGCGTAACCTGCCACGCATGCGGATTTTACAAGGACGTTACTGACAAGTGTGTGAGTGGAATATGTTGGTGGGGAGAGGAAGGCCGATTCCTCGCCCTAATGGCTGCGATTCTTCCATTCTGGTACCACACGAACCATAACCTTACCCGCCCTTGGTAGAAACACAAGCATTATTTACAAGCATTCCCTGGTGTACTTGACCCAAGAACAGGGGCTTGGGCCGGCAGAGTGAGAGCGGCAGAACGACCGGCGACCGAGAAATCCCAAAAGTACACGTCTCAACACCAGTCTAAGCCCTGAAAGACAATAGATACGGACGCATGTACAAACGTACATGTCACAGCTAACCTGTAGCATACGGCAAGAAAGGCAGAGCACGTTTGGATGACAGTATTGATAGTCGGAATCGGTTCGAAGCAGGAATCGCGCTCCCACTTGACTCTGTTAAGACAATTCCAAGGCGTTGGCAGCAAGAACTATCGCCCCAAACAACAGGTTTTTCACGCGAGAAGCGGCTTCGGTAGGGTGGGACAACGCGACGGCGACGTACACGAGCGACGACCTCGAAGGCAGCTATGACGGGGTTTGCGAGTACCTACCCCAGTGCGCGCTGTCGGTTGCCGGGACTTGCGACGGGGATGACAGGTTCGAAAGAACCGTCAGTCTCGCAAGGCGTTGGTATCTCACGCATGCTGTGCTGTGAGAATATTTTGACTGCTACAAAGCGATGTGATGAGGTGTGCGTCTGTGGGAATGCCTTCTCCCAGATACTTGACATCCTGCCAACACCACATATCACGTTGGCCCAGCGTCCGAAGTTGGCCAACACTTGCACCATATGCCCAATGTCACCTCCCACGCCGCCTAGGAACGCCCCGCCCGAACACTACCACGGTGGAATGTGAGCACGTTACGGGACTTTCTTTTCCGTCAACGGAGAGATCCCTGTTTTTATCACTGGGTTCGAATGAGATTCGTGTCGTTCACCTAGCCACCACAATCGAAAACAACTACCCGCGTTCCCTGCAGTTGGGGGGTCTCGAGTTCCGTTAGGGGAAAAAAGGGAATATTGAGTTTTGCATTGGCTCAGTATGGGGACAGCACAAAGGCGCACGTCAAACCCAAGTGCGCGCCCCCGCCGGGAATACCCGCTCTCGATCCCTTGTACGCCCCAAGCCGCCCCTTACACCCAGCCAAGCCGTACCCCTATCGACCTATTTCGCTGCCCTGCGCACCGCCCGTTGGGTATTATTCAATGCTTGCAGGGAGTATACGTTCAAGGGTCAGGTGGGAAAGATAACGCTGGTGCCGGACGACCCCGAGGACGAGCAGTATGAAGTGACGTTCAACAACGGCAGGACGAGCTACGGCTTCAACCAGGAGCACCTGCAGGTGGAGCAGGACTACAACTACGAGGTGGGTCCCCTCGTCGAACAGTGTCTTTGGTGAGTCTCCGGCGTCTCGGTGCGCGGGACCACCCGGGTTGTCACCAAGCGCTTTGCACTATAGGCAAAGGGTAGCACAAGTGCACCGTGCCTGCTCAACTTGTCAAACTTCACCCCCGGTTGCCTTTTGCTCCATGGCCTACTCCTTCGTCTCCATTCCTTTGTCTCCCCAGCCTCTTACCTTTTGACCGACAGCCACCCTCACCCACAACGTTGGAGTCTCCTCCGAACAAACTCGGTCTTTGCTGGTTCCACTCTATTTTCCAAAATGTTTAGCAAGTCGACGGAGATGTGCGCCCAACCAAACCGCCCCACAACCGCCTGGACGAACCATTTTTTCGCGAAGAGCCCAGGTGGGGTCGGTCTAGCGGGTCCGACGATACTAGCCTACTACTCTAGATGGTGTTTCAACACGTTTCGCCTTCGCAACAACCGTCTTCTTGGCTGCAGATTTGGTGGGTCCAACGCACGCTGCACAACTTCAGGGTGCAAGCCCGGAAGCCGATCACGGTGACCAGTCCCACGTGTACGTTCGACAGCACCAACGGCCAGTACTACCCGTACGCGATATTGGACGACGACGGGGTGGCAATTGATTGATATCCCCACTCCTCCGCGTACGCGATACTCGTGTGCTTAGACATTAACCGCCTAGTTTGTGCTTGTTAACTCGATGGTCTGTAACGTATTCTCGATAGTCGGCCGGTTGGCGCGGTCGATGCAAACAACAGAGATAGTCACACGCAAACACCGGTCAGGGGTTGGTATGCTACTAGGAACGCACCGTCACTCACGCAAGGGTTCAGCAGAGGTCATGCGACGCCGTCTTCTGGTCACATAAACGCGCCGTACAAAGAGACTGTAGCCCGTGGCATCCAACACCTGCTGCTGTCTGCGTTGTATAGACAACCCAACAAAAAGAGTGGCCAAATCTCTCGTGAGGAAAAACGCGATTCGCTTCCGGCCGGCCACTATTGTGTGGCCGTCGAAACGCAATTCCTGCACTAGATTCGGCAGGGTAAAAGGCCAGCAAGAGCCCCTCGGTGACTTCAGAACCCCCTGCTCCCTTAGGAATCAAGACAATCAAATGCCGGGCTGGACGCGATCCGCGGCCACAAAAACCAGGCACAGAGAGAATCGGTCGTCATGGAAGACCAACAAGCCACTTACACATCGAACCCACCCGGAGGTGGATCTACCTAAGATGTTGTTGCGCCTTCCGCGGCAGCAATCATGACTTTTGAGGCAATGATGGAAACAGATCTGTTTTGACTTACGATGCTTGAAGCTGTTCCTCGTTGGAAATAAAGCAAATCCATGTCGAGCATTCCGATCACGGCCAATGCGGAACACCCGTGATGAGTAGGAGACCAGAGCATCAAATAAAAAATCCCGGAGCTCGCACTGAGAAAACTTCGCATCACATCGTCGGATCGAACCACCTGCCCGAGCGCCCTACCTGTTACGTTTTTTTACAAGACGAGCACTTCGAGATCGATCAGCGGGCCTGAACCCCAGACCAACGTGCCTCATCACAACCAGCAAATGGATGCACTCGCCAGAGTTGGGCATGAAAGCACCCGCCGGAGTCGGGTTGATTTGATCCACGTGCTCCATTTTGACGAGAGGTTGCAGAGGCAACAGTACACCATACCCAAAACTGGAGCAAATATAGTGCTCCCTCTCTCCCCGACAGCAAAATCCTCATAGATCCCCTAAAGTCCAGTCACCCGGCCATAGCGTTGGCGATGAAATCACACAAAGTAGTCCGCCGATCCCAGCACCCGCAGCGTGGATGTAGGCTGATGGCCTACCGCGACAAAAAAAGCTTTCGAGACAAGTGTCGCAAACGCGCACCAAAGTGACGCTTGCTGCATTAATATTCCTCCGACTACGATAAAAAACTCACAGTCAGGCACCCAGAGACGCTCAACAAACAAAGGAAGCAACAAGTCGACAGCCCCCGCACCGAGGAAAAAAATCGGAGGCCTACGGCGACAAGATTGGTGTGTATCTCTAGCCGAGGAGGAAGGGGAAGAGACGGCGGTCGATCGGTCTTCGACAGCAACAACGCACCCCCGAAGGCCAAAGGATGTTGGGCTCGGGGGAGGCAACTATCTGCCCCGCGTCAAGCGGAGCACACTTTTGCGCCTTGTTTCTCTTACCTAGAAGAACCTTATTTCTTGCCGGGATCCTTGACATCGGGGGGAAGCCGCGAATGCTGCCGCCGACAGGATTATATTCAAATACTGCTGGCTCGCCTTCACAAGCCCCATTCATCCGCCAGCTTCTTGAACTGTTCCCAGAACAGAAATGTGTAGATGGTGTGTGGCTGTTCGGTCGGCCGCGTTCACCGCCAGTACACGGACAAAGTCATGGAAGCGCAGGACAACACGGTGGTTTCGCACGTCAAGCACAAGCACAGCACAAGTACGGCCGAAGGCGCGCCCGACAAGCATGATGAGCATATAGATAGAGACGAGGCGGACCGAGGGGGGGGCGGTGGGGGGTCCAGTGGGGGGGGGTGTACTCATAGTCGTGCATGCCGTAGTCGTGAGACCATTGACCTCGCATCCCTACAAAGCCGGGACGGAGCACGCCGGGTTCTCACCGGACCAGGCTCTCACATCACCAAGCGCGAAGCGCCGTGAGGTATTTGGCGAGTCGCATGAAGGGTGAGCTGCATCCTGCTAAGGGTGTTCGGCATCTTGTGCTTACTTCCTTGCGTACGGATGGCAGCTACGTATGACTTGCTTTATTTTCTGGTGCTTTCACTTCCAGAGACAGTTGTAAGCACTGTGTAACTGCCTCGAGGAAGCTTGACCATTTTAACACAACGTGGTGTGACCATCCCCCGTTGCGCGGAGTGAGGGTTCTCAACCCCGCACAACATGATCTACTTGACCACAATTCATGGTTACCGCCAAAACAAAAAACGAGGTAAAAAAAAAAAAAAACGGTAACCTGGTTGCCGAGTGCACGAAGTGACTTGGCTTGTTTTACAACGTCGTTGCCAAGCGACGAAAACCCAACCCCGATGGCAGAACACCGCGGGGGGGGCGGGGGGGGCGGGGGGGGCGGGGGCGCGTGGACGACATCAAGAGTTGAAGGTGCGTGTATGCGTCATCTGCCATCATGAGCGTTTTGTTCGAGAACGACAGCGCATATAGCGTTGTCGTTGTTTTTGGGAGTTTTTCTACGTCTGTAGGGGTTGGGGGCGGCTATCTTCCTTGCCCCCTATTTACTATGCCATTGGTGAGTGCTTCTGGACGAATTTATCGTACGCCGTCCGTGGATGACCAGTAAACAACTCCCCTACATGACGCTAATGTTTACGACCTCTTCGAAACATGTGGCTGTTGTCCGGCCCCTGTTGTTCGGGATTGATGTACTTGGGTCGTGCACTGCGATCGTCCGGCTCAC